ATCAGATGATGACAAAAGATCTGTATTAATAATGCTTGTATAAACCATCAGAACATAAAATTATTATTATTTTTTTAAACCTCCATAAACTACAATAACTTAAGTTTTCAAAGACTGTAATTTCCTTGGTAAAATACTGGACAATTTCTTCACATTTTAAGATGTAATACCTATTCTGATTTACATTTAAACTACATAGCAATAGACTTCACCCATAAGCATTAGCTTTGTGTTTTGGTAAAAATTCAAAGTCTGGAGGGGTTGGTCCAAGTAGCATCTCACTGGAAGGAGAAAGAAAGTTTAGTATCAATCACATCCATTTCACTCTCATACAATCTCTTTCTTTTTCATATTAAGTCTTTCTCTCTGACTTTCTTTTTCTCATTCTATATCTCACTCTCATTTTCTCTTCCTCCCTGATTAATACAATAATGAAAGAAAAAGTTATAAACTGAAAATTATGAAAGTAATAGCTAAATACAATATAAAAATAAAAGTTGTAACAATAATAGAGCAAGCAGTCAATACAATAAATTTTAAAAATAACAACAGAGACAAGAAAGCCAGCCAAACTACCCTTCCCACCTCACCTGATTTTGATCCAGTCTTTGGCGGACTTGGAGATCATCAGAGTTTCGAGGTGATCACGCCCTCTGTACAGTGGAGGTCTCTGGTTGATTTTCTGTGTCTGCTCAAGGACCCCAACTGGAATATAACGATGGAGGAAGGACAACCATTCCAACAGGAACCGTCGAGTCTTTTCAATGCCCTGCATAAAAGACAGCATGAGTGTTTTCTTTGTTCTTTTTAACATCACATGAAACACTGATCATTCATTATCTCAAAAACAATAAAACAAATTAATAAAAAAAACTTCAGAACCAGATTATAGTCAAGATAATGAATATCATGAAATGGAGTTTACATCAGGGATGTCAAACTCATGGTCTGAGGGCCAAGTTTGGCCCATGGAGTAACAAGAACTGAAATTCTGAACACCATGATGGAAAATAATGGCATAAACATTTTATTCCCATTAGTGTCACCATTTAAAAACTAATTAATAAAATAAACTTTATACATAGGTACATATATTAATGGACAGCTTTAACCCTGGGAAGCCAAGTAGTGGCCTTTGTCACCCTTTAAGCTAGTAGCTGAAATGATAAGTAGCCTGCAAAGGGTTTTGAATTTGACATCCCTGGTTTAGATGGACTGTTCTCACTTCCTTTCAAAAAATATATTTACCCAGTTAGGAAAACTAGATAACTTATCCCACTTTTACTCAACAATGGGAACCATCTTACAGGTTTGAAAAAAAAATAATAATAATAATTACTGTTATATCATAAAAGGTAATAAAGACATACATTTTTATATGAGATAAGATGATCAGATAATTTCCAAAATAAAGTTCCTCACCTCATTATCACTTCCCCAGTGCTCCAACCCATAGTTAACATACTCTTTCAATATATCAAAACGTTCACTTGATGTTATGTCCCAATGTTTTTCCTCCTTAATTTCCTTGAAGATCCATGGTTTAATTAAGGCACCTCTCCCTATCATTACACCTGGAATATGAAAACAATTATCAATTATTCTTAATATCATAAACCTTTTTGTGTACTTCCCATACTTAAACAGCCATTTGAAAACTCAGTTCAAAATTTTTGCTAATTTCTTTCTTTTAGTTTCATAATTTGCCCCTAAAACTTTAATCAAATTTAAGCAGAAGAAATTTGATATCAATATGATATACTGGAAAATGTATTTTTTCTTGCTATATGTTTCAAACTGATTACAGAAATTATTAAAACTTTCTATACTCAAATCAATAAAAAGAATTTATATATCATGTTCAGGTTAAAACAAAACAAATTCCCTTGTAATGGGGTGAACGGAAAGAAAAACTTCAAAACACTGCCCATTTCATATTCGTTATCTCCCTCTCCTTCATTTAATGCATAATCAAAATATTCTGGAAAAGATAAAAGGAATATGAATAAAGAAATGTACAAACAAAAATCTCTTACAATGAAACTAGTATCTCTAACCTGCAACACCTGAATTTTCCTTTTGGTATTTGTAGTCTTCGTATGTGAAGATGTCTCCGTTTCCATATAATGGCATTGGGTCTGCAACAACTGCACACTCCTTAATATACTTCCAGTCTGCTAGCTTCAGGTATCTCTGTTCTTTTGATCTTCCGTGAAGCTGTCGCAAGAAGATTGTTCAATGAAATTTCCAGAGGAGCAGCTAATTTTATAAAAGTATGAAATGAATATTTTCTCAAGTCAAGAATCTCACTGGAAAATTAAGTGACTACTATATCTTAAAAACTTATATAGAAAAACTCTCCATTTCCATACTCTCAAAGTGCTAAATGAGTGAAATAGCATTACCGTAACCATAGATACATCCCACAATTTTGCTTTCTCGATGATACTGTGAGCCACTGATGCATCTCTATATACACCAGTTCTCATTTTCAGAGTGA